CTATGCAGCCGCTCGTGGCTACCAACAAGAATGGAGTAGTTATAAGGCCGCCAACCAAGTACCCCTGCTATGTGACTATGCTGATGGAGCAGCTCTACTCCTATAAGAGCTGGATCATGAACAAAGGAACAAGGGAGGAGAACCCACAGCTGCACATAGGAAGAGCTGTGACAGCCATCTTGCTGGCAAGTGGTGTGTACTTAGAGGAGCATGCTTGAGACGCCTTGGAACCATTGTGGCTAGACTTGGACTATCTCTGAAGGACTCACTTCCTTGAAAGGCGCATCAAAGGGCAGCATGTCTACAACTTTCTCAATGGCCTCGGCGAACCAGCAAGATTCCTCCTTCCAACTCCGCCGCATACAACCATCACTATAAGGAGCAATATCAGCTTCTGCCCAGATGAAAGTCAGCTTCATCAAGGAGGACCAGCAATTGAAGAGAGAGGCCAATGAGGAGCCACAACATTGACCTGGAGGACCTTTCAGGCTACTCTTACACCTTCCACACAACCTTCTAAGGTACCACAAACTCCTCCATTGTATATACCATTGCATTTTTTTTTAGTTCTTGTAATATATTTTTGTTGCTTCTCTCTTCTACTTTTTTATTACACAAGGGATTGTGTAATTTAAGTGTGGGAGAGGGAATTAAGATTTGACTTTGTTTATTGTTTTCTTAGTTTTTCATTTTCATCCATCTTTGAGTCTCATGCATTCATCTAAATGCATTTAAAAACCAAAAAAATAGAAAAATCTGAAAAATTTGCATCTTTTGCAAACCAAAAAGAAAAGCATGTAGTTGCATTCATTTGTTTAGGATTGAGTCTTGTATTTTTTATATAGGTTGCATTGCATTTTCATAGGGCATGATGATGATAATTTCTTGTAAAATGCTTGGTGTTTAGAGATGATTTCAGTTTTTATGTGGTTAGTTGTTTGATGCATCATAAGAAAGCTAGAAGTTAAGACTAAACCATGCTTGGATTGTTAAATTTGATCTTCTCATCTCATACTGAAAGCATTTGCTCTTTGAAAATCAACTCTATCAACTTAAACCTTAATTTGAATCTTTAATTATCATGTTTGTGCATTGAAAAGTTAATTCATGGCTACCATATACACATTTGGATCATCTTTTCCCTTCTCACCACTCTTGTTGATCCAAATATCTTATCCACTCCCTTAACCAAACCTCCTTTTGAGCTTAAACATTATCTTGAGAGTTGTGAGGCTTTTGCATATTATTTTTGAATTTTGTCTAGGCAAAAAGTGTTAGGAATAAGGCTGGCAATGATAAGCTCTCTTGTAGATATCAGCTTGCATCTTGAGCCTTATTTTAGGTTAGGAATTTTGGGATAAAAGGGTAGAGTTAAGTGGTTTGAACTTCATGTTTATATGCTTTGAAAGAAGAGGGAAAAGTATGGTACGGTAGTGTGGGGAAATAACGTTAAGTTGTGATTGAGTAAAGGGAAGAAAAAGCTCTAAGTGTTCAATGAAGAAAGGCGCCAACAACAAAAGCTTTGAAAGTGTCAATCAAAAGAAGAAAATCAGACCCAAGGCAATCCACCAAAAGTGAAGAATGGCGCCAATTCAACAAAAAAGAGCAAGTCCCAACCAAAAGAAGCAACCACACAAGCAAAAAGAAGAAGTTTCCCCAGCCATGAAGAAGGAGAAAGGGTAGAATTTAGGAGAAGGGTAGAATTAGGGACTCACTTTGGGGTTTAGAAGTTTATAGGATTCATCTTTGGGAAAAAAGGTAGAAGGGAGCTTTGATTTGCATGCATTAGTGTGCTTTTACCTTTAGCATTTTGCCTAAGATAGAATCATTTTCATTGAGTGATCCCTTATGTTTGTGAACTCTATGCTGAAATGAGATCATTTTAATCTCATAACCTTACCCTTTGAACCAAATGTCTTCACTTGATTCGCATAAACATGATTCATGGTTTTGAGCTTAATTGAATGTTAAAGAGTTGATTGATTTGAGCATTTGTCTAAGTTGAGATTTGAGATCATTTTGAAGCATGATGAGCATGGCTAAGTTCTTTAAAGTACAGCTGATTATGTTTGCATCCCATAACTAGGCACTTAAGTATTGATTTCCATCTCTTTACCTTTGCATTTTTGGATTTGAGTGCCCACCTTCAAACCTCACATCCTCCTTGTCTTAGTTTGTTTGCTTGAGGACAAGCAAAAGGCAAGTGTGGGGGTGTTGATATCTCCATTATTTACACTATTTTAGCTTGCATTCATCAGTAGTTTTAGTCTATAAACATGCATATTTTGCTTCTTCTTGTCCAATTTGCATACATTTAGGAGTTAGTGTAGTTTTAGGAGCTGCATTGCATTTTGCATGCATTTGGAGTTTTATTCAGGTACTTGAAGGAGTGTGGAGGTCATGTGGTACAATGGGTGTGAGCTGGGAATGGAGCAATGCAAGAGACAAAGGTGGATGGACCAATATCGATGATGATATCTACATCATGTGATCGATACGAAGCATATCGATGGGAATATCGACCACTACAACATCGATACAGAAAAAGCAAAGTGTGAAGGAAGCATATCGACTTAGACACCTCGATGCAGCAGAATGGAGTCCATATCGAGCAGTGTATCGACGTCCCAGACTGATACACATGACAGGACAATATCGAGGTTCCATATCGACTTTCTTGATGGATAAGCCTTAACTAAAGGACGATTGTATCGACTTCACACCTTGGAGAGCCAAACCGATACAACTCAGAGGCCTTCTGTATCGACGTGCATATCGACCAAAAGGCATCGATACAACCCAGAGGAAGAGAAGATATCGACATATGTATCGATGTTTAGTGTCGATATGGTCTGTTCGAGTCAGCTTATTTTCGGTTTAATCTTGGTTTACTAGGGGTTTTCTTGTTTTCCTATAAAAGTCCTAAAATGGTTAGGCAACTTGGATCTTGTTATTTTCTTTTTGTTCTTGCACTTAAAACCTTTTCTTTTTCAGCTTCGCTTTGTAAGAGCTAGTTTGATTTAGTGAATATCTGTATTTGCCTTTGATCTATTCTTGTTTATTCTGCTTCCTAATCATGCTTAACCATATGTTCTCTTTAGAATTTGTGGTTTTGACTATGGCTAGTGAGTAGTCTTTTCTAGGATTTGAGATGGGATAGATTAGATGGGTTTTAGGACTAGATTAATGATGTCTTGTGCTTAATATAATTGTCTTCTCTCTATTATATGTGATTAACACTAGATTAGTCTTGGCCAAGCTTGTTTAGTATCTTGGCTTTTTCTTGCGCCTGGTAAGTGTTTGATGAAATGCTGCTTAGAGTCTCTTAGAGGATTTGTATGCTTAGCCTAAGGAATTAGATGTCTAAGGTGCATTTTGGCTTTATAGGATTAGAGTTCTGTTCTGAATGCTTGCTGGTCATGTATCTAAGTAAAGGGATTTATCTTGAATGTGTGCTTAGCAAAGTGATTAGTGTCAAGGAATTGAGCTAGTTATAGTTGCTAATCCTATGCCTAGAAAATAGCATTGTTTGAATGGTTTTGAAACATCACTAGTTAGGTTCTAATCCCCTCTTAATCAATAACCCCCATCTTAGATCCTTACTTCATATATCTGAATTTCTTGCTTTGCTTAGTTCAGTCTTTAGACTTGTTAGTTTTGTTCACAACTGCCATTTTGGATCTAGCTTGACTTGAGTGATTTGATGTATCCTTGGTGTCTTAAGAACTCAGATGGATTGATACCTTACATGCTGCAATGACATGAGTATGTTAGGATTTGCTTAGTAGTTTATCCTGCTGAATTTAAATAGTAGAAGGACTTTTCTCAAAAGCTTATAACATCACTTGTTTATTTTAGTTAAGTTTTTTTTATTGATTTTCAAAATTTTTAGCACAAGTTAGTTTTCTTTTATACGAATTTTTCTTTTGTTAATTTGCCTCTTTTGTTAATGATTCCTATTTTATTTTGAAACATAAATTTATAACATGTTGAAAGCTAAAAAAAACTTTTAATAAAAACATATTTATTTTCTCATCATATCATAATAGCTTTAAAACAGTTTGGTTTCATATCTAAAAATACAATAGGAAATTAAAGTATGGTGAGGTAATGTATGTGAGCGTACTTACCATGTCAAATAGTCAGTAGTTGCTTCGATATCTTTATCGGAAAAAAACTGGGTGGAAGAAGCGGAGTTCAAAAATAATACTTCTACATTATGCTATTTAAAGTATGGTGTTAAGAGTTAAATAAATCTTATTATCTTATTTATTTCAGAATTCAACATATTTTCATAAAGAATAGTAAAACAATGGTAATTATATGTTTGAGATTACAAACCTTAAAATGTTTTTGGGTTCATAATTGTGGCCAGGAGCACGACAGGTTTGACAACACTTTTCATTATTATTCTTTAAAAATTGGCGGAAGAGTAACACGAACAATTGGCTCACTGTTTAGAAAATGTAAAAGGTGATAAGTAAACATACATTGTATTCCAGTTTAGAATATATAAATGAGTTGTTGGGAAAACATGCTTATTTAATTGCACGTGAACATTTATTTTATTATAACTTCTACCATTGGCGATATCATTAGCTTAACTTGACAAAAAAAGTTTTCGTCGTTGATGATGATCAGTTTTCTAATAGCATATAGACAATATATGACATTATTATTATATATTTGTATATGCCGAGGAGTCAGCGGAAAACCAGCTAGGGAATCGGGTAACCCGTATTTATCTTACAGGGAACTGAGGAGGATTTGACTTCTCGACTCATCTTCTGATCAGCCGAGAAGTCAGGGGCAACTGTTGGGACCAATTTTACCGGATCAAGAGAGGGCCCGACACGTGGACCTTAGGCTCCTCTAAACACTGACACATCCCATGCTAGCTCAGCTGACCCACTCCCGCGTAATGTTTCGGGAAGTTGGCGAAATTAATGGCGATGCCACCAGATTCTGGCACCACCTGTTCCTCCTGGAATCACTCCAGCCACCAATTAGCCGCCGGATCATTAGATGGAATCCTCTCCGTTTACGACTCTCATGTTCCTTCAGCTTCGTCTTCTTCTTCTTTCACTAGCACTTCCAAAGTTAGGGTTAGTGAACCGAGTGTTGTAAAGACTGTCTGGTTGCCTTCGGAATAGCGATGCAGTGGCTTGAATTTGTGAAGACGGGAGTTTATCTATTAGGGAGGAGCTGCCTGAAGGTAATTCTATGCTCTTCGTGTTTCGTTGTTATAGACTTTACTTTTTTTGTCAGACACACATGATCTTGAGTGGAAACCGTGTAAGAGTATCAAGAACAAGTCTAGCCAAGTGCTCGATGTTCAATATGGGTTTCGAGAAAGAGTCTAAAGTAGTGAGCTTCTGTGTTTTTTTATGTTTGGCTGGTTTGTTTTCGATGTCTTTAAATTTATGATTAATTTGCAGGTTGCAACATATTCTGATGGGTATCTCAGGATATTTGAGCTGTTGAATCCGTTGGAATTGAATAATTGCCAGCTTCAGGTTGCTTTTACATTTGTTGCTTATTCTTATGTCTTCTATCATTTACAAAAGGAGACATTTTTAAATTTTCTGATTGCTATCGATTTCTTGTACACATACTGTCTTATTTCTGTGCAGGCCGAGTTTCAGAATGTTATCGATTCTCTGTCGACTCTGGGCAAACCTTCAAGCTTGTCTGCGTCTGTTTCTTGGAATCCAGTGAGGAGTGACGAGCAAGAGCCCAGCTTTGTTTTAGCTTTCAACTCTGATTCTCCGCATCTTAATTCTTCCAAGGTATATATTTGAGTTTAGAGACCTTGTTTCACTTTCTTTGAGCTGGGAAACGAAAGAATCGACCACGATAGACTTGCTGTTGTTGCAGATATGGGAGTTTGACGAAGCTCATAACAAATGGTTGGCAGTAGCAGAATTAGCCTTGCAAGAAAACAAAGGTGATCCAGTTTATGCCGTGTCATGGTTCCCAAACATTGGCCGGTAATTCAAACAATCTTGGTCCTCTTTCAAAAGTATTGTCTTGAGACGCTCAAGCTAATCCTCTTTTGATGCAGACCATACGAGGTTGTCGCTGTTGCAACTCATAGAGGCATTGGAATATGGCATGTTGGTCTAGCTCCTGACCATGACGGAAGGGTTCTGGTAAAGAAGGCTGCCTCGCTTTCTGGTCACCAAGGCGAGGTATCAAATCTCAGAATCTCTTTTACCTGATTCGGTGTTTATTGGATTTTCTGAGAATAAAACTATTGGGTCTAAAGCTTTTAATCTCATTCGAGTAAAAGGTAACTAAACAACACTGCTTCGATGTTTCCTGGTCAGCTTTGGCAGATTGAATGGGAGATGAGCGGCATGACTTTAGCTAGCACAGGAAGCGATGGGATTGTCAAATAGTGGCAGTCAAACTTAAACAGTGAGTGGCACGAACATGCCACACTCGAGCCAGTTCCCTCTTAAGTCCTGCATCGCCATGTTCCATGATCCATATGTTACATTGTGCTATAAGACCAATCCCAATGCAGATCTGTAGGGGTCTAATGACAAGTTTTTAGCAATATAACTGTATTAAAAATTATGTAGAATGTCAAATATTTTAGATAAGGATCTAAAATATGATTTTTTTTTAGTTTAAGAACAGGCAGCTAGTAAATATGAATGAAAATAAAAAATCAACCCAGGAAATATAAAAAAAAAACAAAATTTTTCAAATATTAATAATTAATCATTAAGACCTCGTACTAATGATGTTATTATTGGAATTGCTCGAAGGATATAAACTTCCGTTCGATCTCATAACAATATTTCTCTGTATCTTATCATCATATCTTACAATGCTTTTATTCGATTTCGTTTTGGCTCATTTTTTAGGCTAGAAAGACGATTAAACCATGTCAAAACTATCTTCAACTGAAATCAAACCGGTCTTCATATATATATTGATATCAATTACAAATAGTACCGTATCAAACAAAGAAATATTACATAAAATATTTGTCCATTAGTAAAAAAAAAAATATGTATATATAAAAAAAATGGTTGGATATGTGGAATTAACCTCGAAAATCTACAAATTTGTTAATAACAAATATTAGATACTAAATTACAATTACAATTTTTCCAGTGCTTCAATATTTTAAGACGATAGAGTACGTATTGAAAATTTAAAATCCAAAAGCCATAAAATTCCTCCTCAGAAATTCAGAATGCATTAGAATCTCCCCAATGCTCCAAATTATTAGAAAATACTAGAGTTGAGAAATAGTTACTATCCAAGACAAATTTATAAAACTTGAGTGGAAACAAAAAGGATTCAGTAACTTGAAAGTTTCCTTTTTTATCTCCTATTGATTTCACTTTGTCTTCGCTTGGACCACTTGTCAAAACTCAAAAGCACCTAGCTTTCACGTACTCAAGGGCTTCAGGTGTGCCGTGTGTGCATGCGTTCGTTTTCTTTAGTGTCATGTATCATTATCTATAGATTTTTTTTTTTCATATAACTCAGGGTATATCTCAGATGTTAGAAGGGAAATGAGCATATTTCTAAAAAGATTTTATAACTTAAGCCCACCAAGATCAATGAGACTATGCCGACCTAGCTTGGTGAAACAGAAATCTCTTAAAGGATAATTTTGGAATCCGGAAGCATCGGATCAACGCAAAGGATAAAGAAGAATTCCCATATTCTTTGGAGAATAAGAGATATTTCTATATCACAAATATGGAAATATTCACTAAAGAAAAAAAGAAAAAGGAGTTCGGAGCAACCGACCTCTTATCCCTATAAATAAGAAGACCCTGAAGCTGAAGAGGACAATTCATACAATCGAGAGAGCAGCAGAGCAAAAACCAAGAACTCCAATGCTTTCTAGTTTACTTCGCAAACACTTTCTTTTGCTGATGTAGCCTTGTTCTTTCTGAACTTCCCTTTCACCATTTTCATAAGCCCTTTGATGGCTTTGTCTTGCCACTTGCACCACTTCTGGAGTGTGTTGATGTGCTCATGAGCAGCTCTCAAAGAGCTTTCTTGGTTGGGAGCTTCATAGGACTGGAAGTGGAACTGCTTTGAGCTGTAATTCAACACTTCTTGTTCTTCAAGCTCATCTTCTTCATAGGTTCCTCCTTGGCCTTCAGCGCCAGCAGTAGCATTCCATTGATCTTCTTTTTCTTTTTCTCTAATCTCTTCAGTGTGCTCCTCTTCTTCTTTACTGTCTTCTTCTTCTCCTTCTCTAGGAATAGAGCCGACTGTGTAGAGTTCCTCAGTGCTTGGGTTGAAGCTGATGTTTCTTTTTCTGATGAAGGATGTAAGCTTTGGATTGGGGAGGAGAACTTTTGCTGGTGTGTCAAGGCCTGTGATGAAGTTGTATAAATGCTTTCCACCAATGATTCTTTCAAGGTGGTGGCTCCTCTTGAGATAATCAATGTCAATCCATAGTGGCTCAAGCGCGTCACCTTCATGTCTCTCAAGGTCTACTCCACTAGCTTGTAGAACCGCTGTCACAACTCTCCCAATGTGCACTTGAGGGCTGCTTTCCTTCTTCGTTTTACTTAAAACCCAGCTCTAGTAAGATAAGAGCTGTTCCATCAGCATAGACACATAGCAAGGGTAGCTTTTCGGTGCTCTGAGAGGTTCTCCATACTCGTCGCCTCCCAAAAGATCATACAGTCCTTGGTATATCAGTTCTGCCTCCCTTCCTGTGAGATATGTTGTCTCCTTCCTTGCAAAGAGTGTATTCGCAAGTGCCTTGTGGACATATCTCACAGCTGGATGCCTCAGTTGCTGGTTCCTTGATCTTCCAGGAGTGTATTTCCCAACCCCAATAATGCCCCACAGCATGATGTGCTGCTTACTGGGGATTTCGAAACTGCTCATCTTGGTGGGGTGGGACTTCAGATCTAGAGCCTTGGCGATCTTCGTGAATGTTGAGGAGAAATTTTCCTTGCCAATCCGAAAAGAAATCCATCCATCGCCATTAGAGAGTTCACTGTTTTCATACCAGACCACTTTGAGTGTGGAGACGAATTGGTAAGTGAGCTGTTGGTAAGATGGGAGAGGCATCTCCATGAAAGCTCCAAGGCCCATGTGCTCAAATATGGCTTTGCAGTCACCATAGAGTCCCAGCGCCTTCATTGTGGAGGTGCAATGATATCTTGTTGGCTTGAAAGTGCACTGGTTGAAAGCCTCCATGAGTTCTCTAGCAGCATTGCCCTTCTTTTGTTGATTTTCTCCCTCATTTCCAACTGGTATCTTTCCAGCGGCTTTGGAGGATTGCTCATCATCTTTGCCCTTTCCTTTATATTTCTTAGTTCTTGGTTGGATTGGTGCTTCCTGAGGTGCTTTTCCCTTTTTCACAGCAGCTATGTTTGTTCTTCCCATGGTACCTTCAAAAGCAAAGCTTGAAAACAAGGTAAGTGAAAGAATAAAAGCTGAAGAACCAAAGAGCTGAAAGCTTTTAATGGAGAAATTCTTTAAGCTAAAAAAAGTCTAACAAGTCCTAACAACAAGCTTAAACTTATTCAAAGCAAGAAGAGATCAAAATCTAGCAACTAAATAAGCTAGGATGCACAAAAGATAAACAGTTATGCATGACATTCTAGCAAAATGGTTCTTAGGCAAAAGAGATGATGATCTTGCAAATGGATGAAGATAAACAAGCAATAAGATAAATAGACATTAAACAGAACTTCAACATCTAGCTTGATATTTCAAAACAAATCCAAATTGCAAAACCATAGCACAACAAGTAAAACTAAACACTAGCTGCTCTTAAAAACATCTAATAAGCAATTTTGAACATAAGCAAAGAGTAAGAGCAAAGAGAGATAGTTTAGGAAGCAAAACTTTAGTGGCTCTTTTGAACACCTAAAGAAAGCAATAAAAGAGAAAAAGAACTAGTAATTTCGAGCTTTAGGTGAGAAGAAGAGTGAGTTTAAGTGTGAAGAGAAGTGAAGGAAGTTGTTGTTTAAATAGAGAGAAAAGAGAGGAGACCAAAGGAATCAAAGGTTGGTGAGGGAACATAAGGAATCAAAAGTGTGGGGGACAAAAACAAAAGTGTTCAGAAGCTAAGAAAGAGGTCAGAATGAATCCCATGTGAAAATTTAAACTCCCTTGGCTCCAAACCAAATGAGGCAAAAAATTTTGAAAGTTGAGATACTTACCTCGGATGGAATATCGGTCACTCATGACCGATATTACTGACCGAAATGGCAGTTTCGGTCATGAATGATCGATATTGGAGACTGATGTGCTTCCTGGGATTAGTATCGGTCATCATTGATCGACACACTTGACCGAAATACATCCGGTGTGATTGTGTCGGTCTTGAGTGATCGATACTGGTGACCGATATGATTCCAAGAATCTCATCGATCACCAGTGATCGACACACTGGACCGAAAATCAAACGGTGTGTTTATGTCGATCAAGTCTGGTCGATATGAATGGCCGAAATTTTGTTCTGCTTTCAAAATTCTTTCTATATCGGTCACAAGTGACCGATATGTTGACTGGTGTAGACTAGCTCCACTGATATCGATCAATCATGATCGATACTGATGACCAAAAATCTGTGTATCGGTCTGTGATGACCGATTCAAATGATCGATATCAGCCAGAATACACCTGTTCTTTGTCCCCTTCAGACTTTCTCAAACCCCAGTTCGAAATCCTGTTTCTATACACTAAAACAAAGCATAAAAGATAAACTAGAAAGCATAATATATACAAAAAGATACCATGGGACTACCTCCCAAGTGTGCTTGTTTAAAGTCACTAAGCTTGACTTTGATTACCTCTGTAGTTGAGGTGAGGAGAGGTTCATGGAGCTGGAGCTCCTACCTCTTTCTTCTTCCATACCCATGTTCCTGATGATGGTTGGTGCTGTTTGTCCCTTGATGATATCCCATGCCTCTTCTCTTTAACACTTGGTTTGATTGGAGGTTTCACAACCTTGGTGGTTGAGTTCTCATTGCTCTTCAAACCTCCTGCAAGCTTCAACTCAGCATTCAGTGTCTGTCCTGGCTCAGCAGCGGAAGCATCATCCATAAACATGTTCACAGTGAAGTTCAAGACATCATCTAGATTATCTGGGAGATTCCATTGTTCACACTCTTGCTCAAGTACTCCACAGAAAATAATGGGAGGAGGTTCAATTTTGTAGACCTTGAATTCATCAACATTCTTTAGAATGACTGAGACTCTCTTGAAATCCAACTGAGCTCCTGCTGTTGCCAAGAATGGAGTGCCTAGAAGAAGTGGTACCTCTCTTGAATATGTTTTTTCCATGACCACAAAGTCTGTTGGAACTAGACAATCTCCAATCATTAGAGGGTAGTCCTTCACCATGCCCAAAGGTTTTGTGGAAGTGTTGTCCACAAAAGTGATAGAAGTCCTGGAT